ATCTGGTAGTTAAGTATCTCAAAATTGCTGATCAACAGGATATTACCATCCTGGGAACTGCGTTACAGGTCAGCTAAGGTCCCTCTCGAGCCATACCAATCTCACCTCCCTTATAGTTCCACTACTAGACTACTATTACGACCACCACTAACCCACCCGTCACTCACCTGACTCCTGCCACAATATATAAAATGCGTTTTCTTCGTTTTCTCTGTATTAGAAGCCACTCGTGGCAAAATGTTTCCTTTAATAAATGTCCTAAACCGTATATAAGTGCCCTTTTTCCACATCATTCGGTATCACCATACCATTTCCTCAGTGTGGGTTGTGCTAAGTAGTGGGGGTTTGTAGTAAGTAGTCGGGGTTATAGTAAGTAGTGTTGGTTTTAGTAAGTAGTGTGGGTTGTGCTAAGTAGTGTGGGTTTGTAGTAGTGTGGGTTTTGGTAAGTAGTGTGGGTTGTAGTAAAGTAGTGTGGGTTGTAGTAAGTAGTGTGGGTTTGTAGTAAGTAGTGTGCATTGTAGTAAGTAGTGGGGGTTGTAGTAAGTAGTGTGTGTTGTAGGTAGTGTGGGTTTTAGTAGGTATTGTTTGTTGTAATAGGAAAGTGTGGGTTGTAGTAGTATTGTTTGTTGTAGTATTTTAGTGTGGGTTTTGTAGTGGGTTAATGTGGGTTGTGGTAAGTAGTGGGGGGTTGTAGTAGGTATTGGGGGTTGTAGTAAGTAGTGTGGGTTGTGGAAAGTAGTGTGGGTTTGTGGTAAGTAGTGTGGGTTGTAGTAAGTAGTGTGGGTTGTGGTAAGTTTACCTGGAGAGGGTTTCGGGGGTCAACGCCCCTGCGACCCAGTCGGGAGGCTAGCCTCGTGGTGGATCAGGGGTCTGATCAACAGGCTGTTACTGCTGACCACATGCAAGCTGACATATGAAACCACAGCCCGGTTGGTCCAGGTACTGGGCCTAGGTGCCTGTCCAGTGCCTTCTTTAAGACAATCAGGGGTCTATTGGTAATCCCCCTTATGTATGCTGGGAGGCAATTGAACAGTTTTGAGCCCCAGACACTTATTGTGTTGTCTCTCAATGTATTCATGGCGCCCCTGCTTTTCATCGGGGAATGTTGCATCTCCTGCTGAGACTTTCGCTTTTGTGGGAGTGATTTTTCGTGTGTAGGTTTGGTACCAATCTTCCCTACCCTTCCAAGTGTATATTATCATGTATCCTCTCTCACCTGTGTTCAAGGGAATACAGATCAAGGACCTTCAACCATTCCCTGTAGTTAGGTGCCCTTATCGTACTTATGTTTTGCCGTGAAAGTTCTTTGTACACTCTCCAGGTGTGCAATGTTGCCAGCCCCTTTAAAAGGGGCCATTAGTGTACAGCAATATTACAGCCTAGAGAGCACAAGCGATTTTTAAGTGAATCATTATGGGCTCGGCCCTTCCTAGTTTTGAAGGTTCTCATTATCCATCCTGTCATTTTTAGCGGATGAAGTAGATACATTGTTGTGGGGCGTTGATGGCAAAATCCTCTGACATTATCAATCCCAGGTCCTTCACATTACTTTTCTGTTCTGTTTTTATGGTTTTGAATTTATGGTGGGTTGTAGTAGGGATGTAGGGTTTTATAAGTAATGTGGGCGTAGTAGGTGGTGTAGGT